GCTGCTTGGCCTGCTGTGTTCATCCAGCTCTGCACCTTATTATCTCAGATTCTCCAGCATCTGCAGTTCCTGCTATCTCTGGCAAGGAATATATATTGTTAAGGTTAAGAAAACATCATATAGCTTGTAGCAGTTACCAATAAGGCACAGTCTCTACTGGAAGATAAAAACTGCCTGCAGATCTTTATAAAGAAATTAGGAAAGCAAAGGCTACATGAGACAACATTACAGATAGAATAAAGGAAAATCTAAATATGTTAAAAAGTAAGAGAATAGGGGGCAAGTAGGGCTCATTCGAAACCATAGAAATAATTTATTTGGATCCAGATGTGGGCACAGTCTTCAATGTATACTTTGTTCTTCACACTATTTGTCTGTCTTTTCTATTGTGAAAGACTGAAATAGTGGAAGAAATTAACATAGGGAGGGAGGAGGTTCTACTGGGGTTAGCAGCCTTAAAAGTGGATAAATCTGCAGGTCTGGGTGAGAAATATCCGGGCTGTTGAGAGGGACATATCAGGGGCTCTAGCAGTAATTTTCAAATCCTCTCTAGCCACAGTTGTGGTGCCAGAGGACTAGAATATGATTGGAGTGGGCATCTTTGTTTCTCTCCAAGGAATTCTGATATTCGGTGCTTCCTATGGCCTTTTGTTGATTATCTGGGCAGTTGGAGGAGTATTCATTGTCTTTGGAGTACAGTGCTATGTGGAACTTGGAACAACCATAAAGATGCTAAAAATGTCCTGTTTTTAAAAAAAGGAAGGATGGGTAGACCAGGAAATTACAGGCTGGTTTGAGGTTGTTGATTTGCTTGCCGAGCTGGCTTGTTCTCGTTCAGACATTTCATCACCATGCTAGGTGACATCATGTCTGAATGAGAACAAGCCAGCTCGGCGAGGAAGTCAACAACCTCATCCACAACCCAAGCTACAGATCTTGGCCAAAACTTTACAGGCTGGTCTATCTAACTATGGTGATTGGGAAGCTATCAGAATTCTGAAGGACAGAATATATCTGCACTTAGGGGCACCAGTTAATCAGATAAGTACAGCATGGAATCATTAAGGGAAGGTCATTTTGACAGATTTTGATAAATTCTCTTTAAGGAGATAGCGAGAAGTGTTGAACAGGGTAATGCATTTTAATGAAGTCTTCATGGACTTGGGAAAGGCTTTTGATAAAATATCTCATGGCAGGCCCCTGTTTAGGAAAATAATGCTGATGGCATCCAAGGCAAAGTGGTGCAATGGATTCAAAATTGGCTAAGAGGTAGGAAGCAAGGGTTGATGGTAAAGGTATGTTTCTGTGTTTACAAATGTACTTTCAATGGGGTTCTGCAGAACTTGGTTCTGGAACCCTTGCTATTTCTGGTGTATATTAATGATTTGGGCTTAAATGTAAGGGTATGATCGAGAAGTTTGACACCAAAAATTGGTCAGGTGATAAATAATGAGGTTATCAGTGAACTGGTCAACTGGGCAGAGCAGTGACAAATGGAGGAAGCAATGGCCTAGTGGTATTATCGCTGGATTATTAATCCACAGACCCAGATAACATTCTGGGGATCTGGGTTCAGATCCTGCTGTGGCAGATGGTGGAATTTGAATTCAGTAAAATATCTGGAATTAAGAATCTAATGATGACCATGATTCCATCATTGATTGTCAGAAAAACCCATCTAGTTCACTAATACCCTTTAGGGAAGGAAACTGCCATCCTTACCTGGCCTGGCCTACATGTGACTCCAGACCCACAGCAATGTGGTTGACTCTTAACTGCTCTCTGGGCAATTAGGGATGGGCAATAAATGCTGCCTAGCCAGTGACGCCCTCATCCCGTTAACAAATAATTTTAAAAATTCACTCTGGAAAAATGAGGTAATACACTTGGGGAGAGCTAGCTAGGCAATGGATTACGTTATGAATGGAAAATCAAAGCAATCCCGATGTGCTTATCCACAGATCCCTGAAGCTAGCAAGGCAGGAAGATAGCTTGTTAAAACTGCGTATGGGATACTTGGCCAGGCAGCATCAGAGGAGCAGGAAAGCTGATGTTTCGGGTTGGGACCCTTTTTCACCTGAAACGTCAGCTTTCCTGCTGCTCTGATGCCTGGCCTGCTGTGTTCCTTCAGCTCCACACTGTGTTATCTCAGACTCCAGCATCGGCAGTTCTTACTATCGCTATGGGATACTTGCCTTTATTAACTGAGGTACAAGAGCAGGGAGGATATGCTGGAACTGTATAAAACATTACTTAGGCCACAACTGGAAGACTGTGTGCAGTTCTGGTCACCACATTAAAAGTAGGATCTATCTGCACTATAGAGGGTGCAGACGAGATTTACCAGGATGCTGCTAGGGCTGGAAGGTCTCAGCTGTGAGGAAAGATTGGATTGACTGGTTTGTTTTTCTTGAAGCAGTGAAGGTTGAGAGGGGGCCTGATAGAGATATCTAAGATTGAGGTGCATCAGTAGGGTGGATAAGTAGACAGGTTTTCCATTAGTAGAGGGGTCAATACCAAGAAGCACAGATTTAAGGTAAGGGGTAGAAGGCTAAGAGAAGAGTTGAGAATTTTTTTCATCCAGGGGTTTTGGAGTCTGTAACTTGCTGCCTCGAAGCGTGGTTGAGTCAGAAAACCTGGGCATTCAAGAAGTATTTAAATATTCACTTGTGTTTAATAGCCTTTAGGGCTGTGTGTCAAAAGCCGGAAAATGGGATTGATGTAGTTGAATTTCTGTTGGCTGGCAAGGACACGGGTCAAATAGCCTCCTTCGGCTCTGTGAACTTATGAGACTGAGATCAGAATGGCCCGTCCAGCTCCTATTTTTTAAATTCTTAGTGTTTCTAGAGAACTCCCCTTTTGATTTCTTCTTATTTTTTTTCTTATGAAGAATCACGCTAATTTATAGCTGCTATCAAGAGTGAGGATAAGAATAGAAGAAATGTCTATGCAGACATCAGTCAGAACTGGTGTGCTTTAGCAGTGGCTGAGGCATCTTTTAAGAGAGCACTAGATAGATGTTTGGAACCAAGGAAGATCTAGTGAGTAAGGCAATGTGCTACACTTTGAATACTTTTATAAAAGAGCCTAGACAGAAATAATGTGCTGGATGAACTCATAGGTAATAACTATTTGTGGTGTTCTCCATCATTGAGTCAGGTGGGAACAAGTTCCACAACTTTATGGCCTTAGTGCATAAGCATGAAATTTACTGCAATTTAGTTTCAATTATCAAAGATCTAAAAAAAAATGCAGTTCACTGTTGTTAATTTCTTGCCTTACATAAAAATGATTTCAGTTTTGCTGATGGTCAATTTAAAAATAACACATTTTGTTAAATTACATCTTTTATCCTCTTTCTCACTTCCCGTCCCCCTCAGAAATGTTACTGGAGCGATATGTTCACCGGACGACTACGTTCGGAGATCCCACCTGCTCTGGTAAGGACAAATTCTATCACTTTAACTCCATGTTACAAAAATCAATAATTTTTGGAGACAGATATTTGAAAAATATTGAGCGTTTGTAACAATGGTAATGAAACATTAGGCTTGTTGTTAGAAAATGGTTGGACTACTTCCCTGAATTTGCTGACTTCTTTACAGGGAGTGTTTTCACAAATGACTATTGCTCTGTTTGCAGACTCAAATTTGCATTCTTAATGAGCAACATTGAATATAGGTTGGCTATATGCATATAGAGGGCACCACAGTCTGGCTACACATTCATGCTTCCAGTCCACTTAATGGTCACCAGTGTGTATCCCTAACTTTTTATTTTGTTTTTCCCTCCCTAACATCAGGACACTATAGACAGACAGGAGGCTGGAAGCACACAGCAAGCCAAGCAGCATCTGGAGGAAAGGAGAAATCCACGTTTTGGGTATTACCCTTCTTCAGGACGTCCTCCAGATGCTGCTTGGCTTGCTGTGTGCTTCTAGCCTCCTGTTTGTTTACCTTGGGTTCTAGCATGTGCTGTTTTTTTTTTTGATGTCTAACCAGGATACTATAGCCTGTCTTACTTTTCCTAATTCTGAGATCAGCAACTCTGCAGACCAGGTTCGAACTTCATACCTTCCTGTTGTCTTTTATTTTCATTCTACCCTTCTTGTCAAACAAGAAATGCTGCAAGACACCTTTCATTTTGATGCACAATTGAGAGAACATCACCCTGGTTGGTTAATTGGATTCTTTATTCTTCTTTCCCAATACCCCATCTGGTTCAGTTGTATTCTTTTTGAAGAAAGGCCACCCTCCCTCAGCCTATTTAAATGTAATTCATGAATCCAAAGAAATACTTTTGACTCTGAACTCCTCTCTGAAATTGCCTATTAAACTACCAAATTATTAGAAATCTCTGGTTAAGTTCATAGATGGCATCAAGAAGATGATTTGCCACTGCATTCTTGTGGGCAATTAAAAGTGTGTAATAAGTATCGGCTTTGCCAGTGATGTCAACATGATGTTAACACATTTTGAAAAGTGGGAACAGAAAAGACAGTGACCTTACTTTTGTAGATTGTTGTAAATGTATGCTTATTGTTTGCCACTTTGACTCTAATGTACTGTGCCTTGAGAGAGAGAATGGTTAAGCAGCATTTAAGTATTTTCCTTTTCTTTTGGCCTCTGCATAAATAGCAATGTAGTTTGTGTAACAATACATGCCTGCTGTTTCCCCACATTCCTCCAGTCATTTTTCTAATTTTTTTCAGAAGACTGCTGTATTGAATCTGTGTCCACTCCAGGTGGTCCATTTCAAATCATTGAACATATCAGTAACAGTAAAGTGTTCAGCTTCTTACCTGCCACACTATTGAATAAGGTCATGGCTGATCTTCTAATTCCCCCCAGCCCATGTGAATCTTTCAGGTCCTGTTCAGGATTGTTCAGTCATCAGCTAAGCCTAAGAGTGCTGTTGAACTGCCCAAGTAACAGATTACTGGTTCTGACAGGGGGTTGATGTCAGTTGTGACAGTCCATTACTGATGTTGTCACCTGGGTGAGAAAGACGACATGTTCCTTCTCCTCTTCTGACATGCCAGGCAGGTGCTCGTTGCAGTATTCATGAGAGCTTATCAGGATATCTGTATCCAATTTCTAACCTTTTTTATTTCTCACTTTTAACAAGATATCTCTGGGTGATGCACTGATGAGTGCAGGAGCTCAGCTGACACAACTGGATCTAAGTGACAATGCATTTGGACCAGATGGAGTTCGGAGCATTGAAGTCTTATTGAAGAGTCAAGTCTGTTACACATTACAGGAGCTACGTCTGAATAACTGTGGCATGGGAATCGGTGGTGGGCAGGTATTTGTTTTTGAATGTCCTGTAATTTGATCTGTGTTTACCCAATATATATGAGCAGGGGCTTGGTGGCTCTTGTGCAGTGGTAGTGTTTCTGCCTCTGAGACAAGAGTCCCAGGTACAAGTCCTATCTGTTCCAGAGATGTGTAATAACATCACTGAACAGATTAGAAAATATCTATAGGAACACGAATAGGCCACTCAAGCTCATTTAGGCCTGCTTCGCCACTCAGTTAGGTCATGGCTGATCACCCAGCTCCACGCCACTCTCTCGCACTATACCTGTTATTGTAAATAGACTCCAAAAATCTGTCCCTTTCTGTCTTGAATATGCTCAATGAGCTTCCACAGCTCTCTGGAGTAGAAAATTCCAAAGATTCACCTCCCTATGGCTGAAGAAATCCCTGCTCCTCTCGGTCTTAAAAGCCTACCCATTATCCTGGGATTATGTCCACTGATCTTAGACTCATCCGCCAGGGAAACATCAAGTAACAACCAGCCATTCTAGATCAATTTTTAGCTACACTTTACTTTCTGCTTGTTCACCAAGTCTAAATCCATAATTTTTATTTCACCCAATCCCATTTTATTTACAAATATCCTGTGTGGGACCTATCAGAAACCATCTGAAAATCCAACTGCAACTTGCCTGCTGGTTCACCTTTTTCAATTTTATGAGTAACATTCTCATTAAAAACTGCAAGTTTGTTGCATGATTTCTCTTTCATAAATCCATGTTGTCTTTTGTAAATGTACAATTATCACATTCTTTGCAATTTGTTTCTAACCTTTTCCTTGCTATTGGTGTCAAACTAACAGGTCTGTATATCCCCTTTCTTCCTCTTCCTTCCTGTTGATCGTAGTGGGATTGTATTACAGTTGCTCTCCAAGCAGCCAAGTGCCTATTTATGTATGAGCTGATGCAGTGTGTACCACCTTACCAGAGTCACTGGTTAATGATCTGCAGAAGGAATTCAGTTTTTAAAAATCCTGATCTCTACTGTAGAGGTGTTAATGACAATTATAGTGCCCATACCTGTTGCTGTGATCAGTAGTCAGACTTGGAGTTTGGGTGTTTCTCTTTCATATAATGTAGTGCATAACGTAAAGAAATGTATGCAATTTTGTTTTACTGGGGATGTCAGTGTTTACAGAGCTACTATGTTAATTCACTCCCTCATAATCCCAGAAAGTGGCTGATTTTATCTTTTAAAGTGATAAGTCAGTTAAAAATACAAATTGATACGAGATGAAATGTTGAATATTTGAGGAAAAAGCCTCTCAAAGAATAATAGAGGCAATAAGTGTGTTCTTGTCATAGTGCTGCCAGTTGTAGAGAACACATCAGGCCATGGGCATTCTCAGTTCTTTGTGAAGTTTGTCCATTATCAATAGTTGCTTCTCCCTATGATTACGCAGAGAGATTGTATAAATTAGCATTCTAAATGATGCTTCGTGGCACAGTGGTTAGCACTGCTGCCTCACAGCGCCAGGGACCCGTGTTCGATTCCAGCCTCGGGCGACTGTCTGTGTGGAGTTTGCACGTTCTCACCGTGTCTGCGTGGGTTTCCTCCCACAGTCCAAAGATGTGCAGGTTAGATGGATTGGCCATGCTAAATTGCCCGTTCAGGGAGGTGTAGATTAGGTGGGTTATAGGGGGATGGGTCTGGGTGGGATGCTCTGAGGTTCGATGTGGACTTGTTGGGCCGAAGGGCCTGTTTCCACACTGTAGGGATTCTATGATTCGGAATTTAAGTAGTAAGTGACCTAGTTACAGCATGTAGTTAGGTAACCAGACAAAGCAAGTCTGTTTGAAGTAGTTTGGTCAAGATGATTTGTACCTGTAATGTTCTGAATGATGCCTTTTCCACGTTGAACTGTCAGCACAATCTTTTTTCGACTTTCGTTTTCTTTTAATTAAGTGTTGGAGAGGGATTTTAAAAAGGAGTCTCAGTCCTGTGTTCACAACTCGGCCTTTGTACAGAGCTCTTTTTACCACACATGGGAGAAGCTAAAGACCACTCTGAATCTGGCTTTTACGTGGGGCCCAGTTGCCCTCTTAATTACAATTCAGATCGGAAGTGAGTGACACTTTCCTGTACTTTATTGGGAAAGGTATATTTGTACATACCACATTATAATCGTTACATGCAACATTGACATCAGTGTTTGCCACATCCCCTTTGACCAACACATCCAATCCTGTGAATACACGATCAATGATGGACAACTTCATGGTTCACCTTGGTTCCTCCCATCATCTCGTGATGTTTGCCAGACCCCAATCACCTGTCCTTGGGCTCTTAGAATTATTGACCACATTCCAACACCGATTGTTATGTCCCTTCCTAGGCATTTGCCAGCCACATCATATACTTATTATTAACAACTTTTTAAATTCGGTCATGCAGTTCATATCCCTTGCTGATCTTGGTACAGAAGATTAAAAAGATGTTACTTTCTACCAATTTTTATAATATTTATAATATCAGCTCTAATATAAAGTTACTTAGTTATACGTAGTCAAATCTAATACAACGTTTCTGTGACAAAGCTAACAATCTCGGGAACAGCTTCCCTCTTATCCGACTTGTGAAGCGGCAGTTGTTTATTCTCTCGGTCATAATTTTAAGTGTTTCTGCCTCTCTTGGTACTCTTATGAGTTATATTGATTACATCTTTTCGTAGTTTTAATCTTGCTGATGGAGAAAAAAAGTTTCCAAGGGTGTTTATCGAAACTAGTCTCTGCATCCAATGCTGACTGCCTTCAGAAGTTTAATTCCCCAATATCCGATAAATTTAAACTTCTATTGGTATATAAATATGTCTCTACTGTAAAATGTAGTTATAGTTATTTAAAAAGCCTCATCTTGGGTAGGTCAAGTTTTCCCTTTCTATTTCATATAAGAATTGGAAATTTCAAATCTGATGGTTTTCATCTGAGCTGCCTTGTCAGAGTCTTTCAGAGTCTCTAGTCTGATCTTATTAAGACTCTTTCATTTTGTTCTATCTGTGAAGGTCATGATTTCAGCTACATGAAATGTTTGTCAGTTTTAAAACAAAGCCCTAATAGTCATTGTCATATTCAGCCATGGGTAACTACATCATTAAGTATGCACAGATGTTTTGTAAGTTGGCTCCTCTGTGTGCTATGTGCTCTGTTTCTGTTGCAGATTCTTGCTGCTGCACTTAGTGAATGCCACCGTCTGTCAAGTGCCCTGGGAAAACCAATGGCACTGAAAGTTTTTATTGCTGGGAGGAATCGTCTGGAGAATGAAGGTGCCATTGCACTGGCTGATGCTTTTAAGGTACAGACTTGCATAAAATGGTGTGGAGGTGTTTGTGTGTTTCCTGCTGCTGTTGCCTTTGGTCAAGTGAAAATTGGACATGATGCTAGGAGCAGTCATGGAGCTTTGGGATACTGGCTCAATCCACTTGTTCTCAATTCCTGTTCAAAGGATTCCGCAATTGATGTTAGGGCACATCTCCACCGGTGGTAGTCAGGAGAGACAGCATAATGGCCTTACCTTGCCACCTTGATGTGATCCTGAGTGATTGGTACAGTTAATCAAGTGTACTTGGGGAAAACAATTGATGCTGAAGGCTTTGATCCTGCAAGGAGTTGTCTAGAGGATGAGAGTGCTGTACATTGAAAACAGAACATTCATAAGAACTCTGAGCAGGAGTAGGCCACCTGGCCCCTTGAGCCTGCCCTGCCATTGAATAAGATCATGGCTGATCTTTTTGAGACTCAGCTCCACTTACCCGCCCGCTCACCATAATCCTTAATTCCTTTACTGTTCAAAAATTTATCTAGCCTTGCCTTAAAAACATTTGGCGAGGTAGCTTCAACCGCTTCACTGGGCAGGGAATTCCACAGATTCACAACCCTTTGGGTGAAGAAGTGCCTCCTGACCTCAGTCCTACCTCTGCTTCCCTTTGTTTTGAGGCTATGCCCCCTAGTCCTAGTTTCACCTGCTGGTGGAAACAACCTCCCTGCCTCCACCTTATCTGTTCCCTTCATAATCTTATATGTCTCTATAAGATCTCCCCTCATTCTTCTGAATTCCAATGAGTATAATCCCATCCTACTCAGTCTCCTCATAATCCAACCCTCTCGACTCTGGAATCAACCGAGTGGATCTCCTGTGCACCCCCTCCAGTGCTAGTATATCCCTTCTCGAGTAAGGAGACCAAGACTGCACACAGTACTCCAGGTGTGGCCTCACCAGGACCCTATACAGCTGCAGCATAGCCTCCCTGTTTTTAAACTCCATCCCTCTAGCAATGGCAGACAAAATTCCACTTGCCTTTTTAATTACCTGCTGCACCTGCAATCCTACTTTTAGCGATTCATGCACAAGGACACCCAAGTCCCTCTGCACAGCAGCGTGCTGCAATTTTTTACCATTTAAAACATAGTCCATTTTGCTGTTATTCCTACCAAAATGGATGACCTCACGCTTATCAACATTGTACTCCATCTGCCAGACCTTTGCCCACTCACTTAGACTATCTATATCCCTCTGCAGACTTTCAGTGTCTTCTGCACACTTTGCTCTACCACTCATCTTAGTGTCATCTGCAAATTTTGACACACCACACTTAGTCCCCAACTCCAAATCATCTATGTAAATGGTAAACAATTGCGGTCCCAACACTGATCCCTGAGGCATACCTCTAGCCACTGACCGCCAACCAGGAAAACACCCATTTACCCCTACTCTTTGTTTTCTACTAGTCAACCAATCCTCTTTCCATGCCAATATATTACCTGTAATACCGTGCAACTTTATCTTACGTAGCAGCCTTTGGTGTGACGCCTTGTCAAATGCCTTCTGGAAATCCAGATACACCACATCCACAGGTTCCCCATTGTCCACCATGCAAGTAATGTCCTCAAAGAATTCCACCAAATTATTTAAACATGACCTACCCTTCATGAACCCATGCTGGGTGTTCCCAGTGGGACAATTTATATCCAGATGTCTTGCTATTTCTTCCTTAATGATAGATTCAAGCATTTTCCCCACTACTGAAGTTAAGCTAACTGGCCTAAAGTTAGCTGCTTTTTGTCTACTTCCTTTTTTAAACAGTGGCGTCACATTGGCTGTTTTCCAATCTGCGGGAACCACCCCAGAGTCCAGTGAATTTTGGTAAACAATTACTAGTGCATTTGCTATTTTCCCCCATCACCTCTTTTAGTACCCTGGGATGCATTTCATCAGGGCCAGGAGACTTGTCTACCTTTAGCCCCATTAGCTTGCCCAGCACTGCCTCCTCAGTGATAATAGTTTCTAGGTCCTCACCAGCTATAACCTTCTTGCCATCCGTTTTTGGCATGTTATTTGCGTCTTCCACTGTGAAGACCAACACAAAATAACTGTTTAATGCTTCGGCTAATTCCTCATTCCCAGTCATTAAATTGGCCTTCTCGCCCTCTAAAGGACCAGTGTTTACCTACGCCACTCTTTTACGATTTACATATTTATAGAAACTTTTGCTGTCTGTTTTTATATTCTGAGCTAGTTGACTGTCATAATCTATCTTACTTTTCTTTATAACTTTTTTTGTGGCTTTCTGTTGGCATTTAAAGATTTCCCAGTCTACTAGTTTCCCAATACTCTTAACTGCTGGATCTCAAAGATAAATCAAACTGAGTGGACCTAATGCTGACTGCTGAGGAAATCACTTTTTTTTTAATGCTACCTTCCAGTCCAATATCCTTTTAACATGGCACTTAACTTTCTGTTGTTTAACCCATCCTGTAACCACATAGGCATTGCTTCATTCAACTGACTGGGCTTCAATTTTGTTAACCAAGTTATTTGGTGGCAATTGAAATGCCTTCAGAATTTCGACACTTGCATCAGCTGCACTCCCTTTATCAACATTATTTTATTGAGTTTTTCCAAATAAATAACAGACTTTATCAGACTTAATTTGCCTTTAACACATCTGGCTGTCATTTATTACACCACGTTCTTAAAATTAGTTTTATGTTGGATTATACTGTCTAGAAATTTCTGACCACCAGTGTTAGGCTGACTGACCATAGTTACCCTGTTTACCATGTTCACTTGTTTTTAGCATGAGTAGCGTTTGGAATCCTTTAGTCCTCTGGACCCACTTGCATACGTTGTTAACAAATATTCTAGAACCCAAGCCAATGTTCTGAGGACTTGGTTTGAATCCCATAATGGCAGATAGTGACACTTGAATTCCATTTTAAAAATAAGGTCTGGACTTAAAAACCTAGTATGATGGCGACCACGTTCACTGCTGATTTGTCATAAGAATCCATCTGGTTTTCCAATGTCTTTTGGGGAAGGAAATCTGCCGTCATTACTGGATTTGACTTGTATATAACTCTAGATCCACAGCAATGTGGTTGACTCTTAACTGCCCTCTGATCAGTTACTGATGGGCAATAAATGGTGGCCTAGCCAGCGATGTCCAAGTCCCAAGAACAATTTTCTAAAAATCCAAGATTGTGGCTGAAGCCTCCACTATTTCTCCCTTCTTTTCACTCATAACTAACTTGTGTCCTCTTGAGTGCTGCCAAACGTATCAAGTAGCCATAGCACAGTTGATCCTAAAGTTGCTTTCTCTGTTTCTCTCTTTCCGTGCAATAATTTCATCTTTTCAAGTGGAGGCATTAAGTAAAACTAAACTATATTTTTAATAATTGCTGCCAGATTTTCCACAGCTGATTGCTTCCTAATGAGCCCGTAATGTGACATTCAGTATTTGTAATGGCCAGGGAATTGTAACCCCTCCCCATGACCTTTTGTTACCTTCTCTCGCCGCCTCTAATTTCCTCCTTGCTCCATTTCATTAATTCTTGTTTCAGGTTGTTTAGGTTACCCCAAGCTAAGATCGGTTTACTTGGCACAAAGCAGGAATTGATCCATAGACCAGCAGATTTCTTTCTTTGGATGAATCCCCCAGAATCAAACCGTGTAAAGTTGTCTCGTATGAAGACTGCATGTATTACCTTTATTTTCAACCACAGAGAGAGTTCTTTGCTCTTAAATCGAGGACTACTTGTGCAGATGCGTTTCTTGGTGTTAAGGGTCAGGTCAAGTATATAATAAGATAGTCTCTAGGTTCAAGTCCCACCTGCTTCAGAGGCATGTAGTAATATCTGCAGGTTGATTAGAAAATAACTGAGTTAGAGAAGAAAGGATTCAATAGTCTGGAACGCCTTTCCTTATTTCAAACTGCATTGTTGCTGTGTATCTACAAACTGATAAGCAGATTTTTTTTCTTCGTTTAAACAGTAGATTCCCATTTTATGTGGGGAGTGAAGTATTGATGATATTAAGTTAGCCACTTTACATGTTTTTCAAATTGAACATGTGTCATGACGAAGGGGGAGAAATAAGCTGAAGGAAATCAGAAGTGCGAATAAAACCTGTTTGCTTAGTCCATAGGAACTCTGGAGGAGGTACACATGACCCAAAATGGAATAAACCATCCAGGTATTACGGCTTTGGCAAAGGCGTTCACTGAAAACCAGCACCTGAGGGTCATAAACCTTAATGATAACACTTTCACAGAGAAAGGAGCAGTTGCCATGGCTGAGGTAAGAGGCTAAGGCAGGTGCTGATTTCGATTCCTCTAATGTTTACCTTTCCCTTTGAGCCAGGCTGAAGTAGGAATCTCTTGACACTGACAGCTGTTCCGTAGACTGTACTACTTAATTCGATGTTTAACTGGCATTTCCCATTGTGTTTTTAGACGCTGAAGGCACTCCATAACATCGAAGTAATAAATTTTGGGGATTGTCTAGTGCGGTCAGAAGGAGCTCTAGCTATTGCTGAAGCGGTAAAATCTGGATTGCAGAATCTCAAGGTTTGTTATAATTTTTCAGGCTCTTTTACTTATTCTCCTACTACTCACATCTCCAATCCTCATATGCACCTGCTAATGCCAATTGCTTTAGTGGATTGTTGCAAGACACTTGGCAATTCTTTACCCATTCCACTTCACCTCTTGCCCCACTATCCTCAGAGTTGCTGAACACTCTCTCTTAAATTTGATCATCTGACGTAGGTGCTGCTGTCTAGGCCAGCATCTCTTGCACATCCCTTTTTGCCCTGGAGAAAGTAGTAGTAGTGAGCTACTTTCTTGAACCTATCCTTGGGTTTTCAGAATGCAAGCAGTATGTTAGGAAGGGAGTTCTTATTTCTGGAGCCAAAGATTTGGTCACCTGTTCTTAAGCTTCCTTCTTTGTGTCAATGTCAATTTTTGTCTGATAATGCTTCTGAAATGTCGCTTTGAATGGTTTTAGTATATTAATGGTGTTATATAAATTTAGGTGATTGTTATAGAAGGTTTGGCAGATATTGCTAGTAGAAAATTGAATTGCTTGTTCATATTGAAGTTTCTTCTGATTCTAATACTTAATGTACCAATAAGGCTGAGATAGTTGTCTTATGGAGAGCTGGTTACTGAGTAAAATGAATTTTTTAAAAAGGCAGGTTGGTGGGACGTAGAATGATAACTGTGATAACACTGCTATATCTTAAGGATCTTCAGCATAGTGATTTGCTGGTGCAGGTGCTTAAAATCCAGACAGGCCCTTGTCAAGATGAGTGAAGGTGAACCACTAATGCCATTAATTGTTTAATGATTCTTAGAAAGGTATTTGCCAAATCTGGATTTCCATCCTTCAACTGGGAATTAGTGAAAACATGGACAGTAAAGAGAGAGTGAGAAAATAAAAGTGCTTCTTATCAAACTACTCCAACTATATTGAGGGGAAAATGAAACCAAGTGTTTCTTTCCCATTATAAGTTGTCTAAGCAGTCCCTTTAAAAGTTGCTGTCTGAAAGCAGTTTAATTCATGCATCTCAGTTAGAAGTTTGTGGGTTCACATTTAAGGAGGGTATTAACTGGACACACTTCAATACAATACTGCAAGTGTTGTTAGTCTTTGGAATTCTCTTTCCCTAGGTAGCAGTGGAGGCTCGTCATAAACATATATTCAGGGCTGAGTTAGACAGGTTGTTGAATGACAAAATAGTCTAGAGTTATGGGGGACAGGCAAAGTGGAGTGAAGGCCCCAAACAGATCAATCATGATATTGAATGACTTCAGTGACTAAATGACTTATTTGCGTTCCTCTCTCTTACCTTCTTCTGAAGTACGCATGCTAGGTGAAACTTCAAACCGAAACCCAAGTTGTTGAATTTAATGGGTCATATATACATTGGTATACATGTTGAAATTAAGACAAAACATTAAAAGAAAATCCACTTTTGTCAGTGCATTGAGTACATGAGTTTGGGAGGTCATGTTGCGGCTGTACAAGACATTGGTTAGGCCACTTTTGCAATACTGCGTACAGTTCTGGTCTCCCAGCTATAGGAAAGGTGTTGTGAAACTTTGAAAGGGTTCAGAGAAGATTTACAAGGATGTTGCCAGGTATGGGGGGGGTTTGAGCTCTAGGGACAGGCTGGGGCTATTTTCCCTGGAGCATCGGAGGCTGAGGAGTGACCTTTGTAGAGGTTTATAAAATCACGAGAAGCATGTATAGGATGAATAGCCAAGGACTTCCCCCTGGGAAGTATGGGGAGTCCAAAACTAGACAGCATAGATTTATGGTGAGAAGGGAAAGATTTGAAAAGGACCTAAGGGGCCACTTTTTTACGCAGAGGGTGGTGCGTGTCTGGAACAGGCTGCCAGAGGAAGTGGGTGGAGGCCAGTACAACCACAAATTTAAAAGGCACCTGGATGCGTATATGAATAGGAAGGATTTAGAGGGATATGGACCAGATTAATTTAGGATATCTGGTCAGCACAGCCGTGTTGGACTGAAGAATCAGTTTCCATACTGTGCAGGTCTATGACTCTGAGTTGATCAAGAACAAATTGGGCCAAGTCTTTAAGCCCAATTTCTGCCCTATTTGTTTGACATAGGGCATGACCAAACGTTAATGCAAATCTCACAGCCAAAATGAGACACTTCAGTCTGTTGTCCACTTATAACTTACTCATTTGCCAATCTGACTGCTTGATGTTGCCTCCTGAGCGTGCTTCTAACAATTTTCATTGCATCCAGTTGGGAGCAGAAACTTCCCTGTCTCTTCCAAATTTACAGCTAACGATGCCAATTAGTATTTTGCCAGGACTTTAAATGAGATCAGCTAAGAAGAAAGAACTGCTAACCCCTCAGACCAGAAATCATGTTGGGTCCTCACACGTCTTTTGACTCAATGCTTTTAAGCATTTTTAAAGGCATTATTACAATATTGAAGGCAGTCTGATTTGCAAGTTAGTTTTTTTCCCTGCTTTGGAGAGCTCAGTTAAGTAGAAATAACAGCCGTTTGGATCAACATGTCTGTTGTTGCTCATGTTTCCCATCTTACTTCATTTCATCTCATCGGGATGTCCTTCTATTATTTTTAATATAACTGATTAACTGGCTGTGTGTCCATAGGAACTTAACCTTTCATTTGGAGAGATCCGGAAGAATGCTGCAATCACGGTAGCTGAAGCTGTGGAACATAAATACTTGCTGGAGAAACTTGATCTAAACGGTATATCTGTGTGTGGTGTCTAATTTGTTTTTTTCAGTTTTGCACTGTTCAAATTCAGATCGGGGTGTTCGTTATTACCCACTTTGAGAACCATGATTTGAAGAGGTGGATACAAAATTTAGTTGACCATTTTCAGTCTGGTTTAAGGAGCATTTATGTTTCACCGAAAGGAACCCAAGTTTCTACACCAGTGATATTTGCAGATTTTTTTAAAGTTACCTGTTTGTAGAAATGCTTGATCCTATTGTGACACCCTAATCACTCCCAACTGAAATGCATTATTGTTGCATCAGCTAGAGATGCTGATTGCTGTGCAACGTTGGAACACTGTTTCAGAAGACAGTGGATCCAGGCTCATTAAATATTTTCAAGTTGAAAGTAGACACTTGTTAATGGGGTATCTGAGGATATCAAGGATAGATGGGAGTTTGGAATTTAGAATGTGAACTGATCACGGGTGGCAACATGGCTCAGTGGTTAGCTCTGCAGCCTCCCTGCACTAGGGACTTGGGTTTGATTCCAGCTTTGGATGACTGTCTGTGTGGAGTTTGCATATTCTCCACGTGTCGGTGTGGGTTTCCTTTGGGTTTCCTCCCACAATCCAAAGATGCACAAGTTAGGTGGAATGGCCATGCTAATAGTGTCCAGGGATGTGTAAGTTTGGTGGATTAACCACAGGAAATGCAGGCTTACAAGGATAGAGTAAGGGGTGGGTCTGGGTGGGATGCTCTTTGGAGGGTTGAAGTGGACTCAATGGACCAAATGGCTTGCTTCCACACTAGGGGTTCTATGCTTCTGAGATCAACTATGATTTTATCAAATAGTGGAGTCGTTTTGTAGGGCTGAATGACTGCCACCACCTCCTAATTTGTATGTTTGTACATTCTACTTGGCTAGTGGTTTGGTAATCCCAGTTCATCTTTCTTATACTGATTTAAGAACAAAGTTAGTTTCTTTAATCCAGTACCATTTTGCTCTTCAGAAACCTATTTAGTTTAAATATTTAAGAATGTACAAAAGTACGGGATCTGAAATCATTGCTTTAGATTGACTAGCCTGAATAACAAATGGCTTTAACTGCTTACTGACATACTTCTCTGAAGAGGTGACCATATATTATTATTGACTATTTACCTAGTTTCTTCACTGCACAAGCATTAAAGAATGTTGATTTTGTTCTGTATCTGAGAGATTCTCACAATACATTACTAAAGATCTGAAGATTATGTTTGTTGACTAAATTTTACATTAGTTTTAGGAACTTTAGTTGTCTTGTACAAGATCAAGATCTGCAGTCATACTTGAGAACTACAGTTGATCTTAGTATAACTGAGCTAAAGAGAGAACTCTCCAACGTAATCCCAGGTCCTACCTGG